GCTCCCAGAAAAGGACAATACCCTCTAGTCTACCACTGGTGTTTCTTCTTCATACACTAGCACATATGGTAGATGTACATGGTATATATCCAGCAGAGGAGGATAGACTGCGACCGGACTTACTATAGGTGAACTTGTTGTTGTTGTTGTTGGTGGTGGTGTTGTTGTTGCTGTCTTTTCCCGTAGGAACTTTTTTCCTTCGTAGAAACATCTAGTATTTCCACTTGTGTAGTACTGGGAGCTCTGTACGATTTAATTCACCCACTGTTCCACCTAAAATTAAGGGTTATTGTTTCGTGCAAATAAACAACAGTGGACTACTGGTGTCATCTTGAATGCAAAAAAATGTAAAAAAAAACGACTCAATCAGTACATATTCGCAAACACAATGCGAAATTGTGAAAGTAAAGGTGAAATAGCCGTTGACATCAGTATATCCTAGGTTTGAAAAGTCTCCAAGCTGATTAGAATGTTGTTGGATCTGAAATGAATTTTCAAAAATCGGAAATTTTTGGTTATGGTCAGGAAAAAACCTTTTTACCGACCTTTGTTTGGGGAAAGTAGCCTATATACTGTTTGGCTCTTGATGGATCGAATGTTTGGTTGGTGACTATTTTCACGTTTGTTGTATCGTGTCCTTTTCCAAAGCGATAAGGTGGTGGCGCTGGTTGAGGAGCCTTCAAAGAATTTCTTCTGAACATAGTATTCTTCTATTTGACCTGTCTCAGGAGGTCAAAAGCGACACACATAATCTTATCATAGCGATAGCATCATATCAAACATACCAGTGCGGTTCCAGTGAAAAGGAGCACCGGGGTGGATGAAATGACTTCCCGTGTAAAAAGCTGGGGTTTTGCCAGGAATGGGCACCCGATTTACTCCTTCACCCCGGTACTCTTTCCCTTCTGAGGCTCAGTTCAAAGGTACTGTTGTAGGTCGCAAACAGTCGACTTAATCACCTTGGGTAATCCTTCTGATGTGTATCTCTTGAGACGACACCGAAGGCGTAAGCTATCGGTATCTTACGTGTGAATCCAAGCAGGTAACGCAAGCATTGCTGCTAGCGCGGTGCGCCCCTTAATCCCTACTCTCAGTTGTACTCATACAGTAAGCTAACGATACGGTACCTCGGCATCGC